ACATGCAATTGAAACTTTCTCCCCAAGTGTCCACTTTGGGATCGGTTTGAGTGATGTATGTGTGATGTAAATGTGATGTATGTAATTATCCCTTGAGTCTCATCAGCGAGCCCTTGCTATAAGACTTAAGTTGTTCGGCGAGGAACACTCAGGTACAGCACAAAGCTATTATTCCGTAGGAGTCACAAAACATTCTTCAGGTGACTACACGGCAGCCCTTCAGTCTAAACAGCAAGCTCTTGACATGAGAAGAAGGTTGTGCAGAGAGGAACATTCCGACACAGCTTAAAGTCACTATTCCGTGGCGCTCACACAATAATCTTTAGGGGATTATCAATCAGCCCTTGATTCTCATCAGTGAGCCCTTGATATAAGACTAAATTTATTTGGCGAGGAACACTCAGACAAAGCTGAAAGTTGCCATTCTGTGGCAATCACACAACGTTGCTTAGGTGATCATGCGTTGGCTTTTCGGTCTGAACAGCGTGCTGCTGAAATAAGAAGAAAGTTGAAGAAGGACACTAAACCAAAAGCAAATATTTTTAAGAAATATCTACATAAACTCTTTGGAAGAACGTAAGCAGTAGCAAGCAGGGGTAAGCAGCCCTTTTGGAAATCATAAAACTGAGGATCACTGGTTTGCCTGACGACTGGAGCCCATTGATGTCACAGGCGTTTCCTTAGTAGGTGTAATTCTTTAGTGTTAAGCATATTTTCCCAGATACCCCCTGGTCTAATCTGCTGGCAGTTCAATTCAAGCTTCCAGGTCGTACGCTACCCATTAAATAGAAAAGACTGCACGAAAAAAAACATCTTTTGTTTGTTTAGATCACACATGTAATCAGAATCAAAGGAGTATTAACGAAAGGTTTGCCATACTAAGCAAAAAATTATGATAGAGAGAAAACTAAACAAATACAATTTTTGAAGGGCGGCACAAATCAACGAGAGAGGGTCCATATTCGCTAGCGGATTTGAACGGAGAGGTGGGGGTCCATACCCGGTATAGGGTTTGGATGAGGGGGGTCCAACACCGGATTGGTTTTGCTGTTAAGCCAAGACATAATTCAATATAAGCAATTTCTAAATTCTTCAAGTTGAGTCGCAGTAGTAAGCATATCCACTGGTCTGAGGGTGGAGGGTGCAGATCCCCTCAGACACTTCCCTTCCTTCCTGGCATGTCTTTTGAAATTATAGTAAAATTTTCCACTAACATCACGCGGAAAAAGTCATAAGTCATTCTAATATAGTTACTGTGTCATTGGGAATTTCTTTAGATCCACTAGGAAGATGGTACAACACAGCAGCAAAATCATGGTCATAAATGTACCATATTCCATTTTAAATATCTAATGCATGAGCATTTGTGTAGATATTTTTGTAAAGAATAAACGTTAAATTTTTCATATGAAGGTTATGAACTCTAATATTTTGAGAAAAATATGAAAAAATGCCATCTAATATGTTTGATAAATAAAAACAATTCTGCAACAAGCGTGGGACACTTAATTAATATGCTGTCATATCAGAAGATTAGTGTGTTTTGCTTCCGTAAAAATTATGTAAACCACACTAGTATACAATGGCTAAATTCACGAAAATTTTGTACTTTGGCAAGAATTAAGCAAAATAAACTGGAATTTCTGAAGGATAAGGTTGCATAGTAAACTAGTAAGTGTGTGTGTGTGTGTGTG